ATTTTTTAATTGTGTTTTAATATTTTGTTATCTGTATTATTTTAGGAATGATTTTATAACCAATGATGAAAATAATGTATTCATAATTTTTTTTTTGAAAATTCTATTATATTTTAAGAATGATTTTATAGCTATTCACGAGTTATATAATTATAATGTTTTTAAAACTTAATCGATTATTGAACGGATGAGGCTATTGGTTCAATATTTAATGATTCAACAAATGAATTATGGTCAAACTATTATTAATAAAATAATAATTAAATAATTTTAAAGGAACATAATATCATAATTTTAATATTTAATTTAAAATAAAACATAATTTTATGGGTTCTTAAAATTTAAAGTATATACAAAAGTTCAAAACAAATAATTATAATAATTAACTCTATATTTTTAATGATATATATACAAACATGTATTAATAATAACATGTTTTACGTATTTAGATTAGTAAAAAAATGACAAATCTTTTAAAATGATTTTAATTCTTTTCAGAAAAAGTTCAAACAATGATACTCTTTATTTTGCATGTTCATAATCATAAATCAAAAGAAATTAAAGAAAAATATGTTAAAATAAAACTCCAATTGAAATAAACAATAGTTTATAAAACACTAGAAGGATCGATAGAGGATTCATATTTGTTCATAGCCTTAAATCAATCACTAAAAGAAAAATATGATAAAAGAAAAAAAATAAAATAAAAAACAACAATCAACATAAAGCCTTTACACAATTCATGGCTAACAAAAGATCCTAAAGAAAAGTTATAACTAAACATATATAACAACCCTAATCTAAAATTCTTGATGTCACATTCTATCATAGCTTGACATATAAAGATAGCACAAGGCTTAAGCCTTATCTCTGTCATATGATAATGTTAATTTTTACTTATAATTATCGATCATTTACATTAACAAAATTAACTCTTCTTTAGATTTTAAATAGCTTAGTCCTCCTTTTGATGATTTTTTATAAGTAGTTAGATATTAGTTAATATCATTTCATTATACCACTAATCTCTATTTTTTGTCTAACATTTGATCATGAAGTACAATGAGAGCAAGCCACACAAGAGTGAATATATGGAAGTGAAGAATGAAAAGTTTTTTTTAGGGCATTTCCTTGAAGAGTAGTAGCTAGTGTCGAGCACCACTCTACCCGCGCTTGGTGTCAGCTTGGCAGAGACGCATTTCCACACCTACGCTAGGCACCACACTACCCACGTCTAGTGTGGCCTTGACAGAAAGCTCTTCTTTTGCATCTTGGTGTTGGCACCGAGTGTGGGTCAACCTATGCTAGACGTCATATTTATGACGTGACACTTTTTATTCACTTTTTCCTTTTCTCTTGGAAGTATTGAGGGCTTTATTTGATTGTTACATGGAGGATGAATTTGGGGGATCTTTGGGTGCTACTAGGGTTTCCTTGAAGACATTCAATCTTCTCTTTATGCCTCTCCATCTTCCATGATTCATCTTATTTTCTTTTTTGTACTCTTCATGATAATGAGGAGCTAAGTCCATTTTTTTTTGTTAGATGTAACCAACTGAATTTTCATGTAATTTTTATTGTTCATTATATATATATATATATATATATATATATAAGTATATATATATATACTC